TGATGATGGGATGTTGAATGTAGTATGGATACCAACACTCTAACTTTTAACTAATTTACATAACAAATAAAATTGAAAATAAAAACAAAATCTAAAGGGACCTTTATATCATAGAATTGCTTATAACCAATCAGAATTGTTCTCGACTGAGGTATTTAAGAATCTCTAAGCCAAGTTCTCATTTTATGATGCCACAAAAAATAAAAAGAAATTGGAGAAAAAAGTTATGACAAGATTGAGATTGCTAAGCTGATCAAAGGTGACTTGTTCCAATCAATTGATAGAATAATGAAGGAATCTCTCTAGTTTTATCTTTTGATTAGATCCTATGAGGAGTACATCAATTTATTTATATTAAAATTTTAAAATTCTAATCTTCTGTTTTTTTTTAATTAAAATCCTAACATTTTTATGTTTTGTAAATATTAATCTATTTTGTTTTGGATGATTAATATTGTTGATGTGAATGAATAATTGTATTATGTGAATATATCATTATGCTAATAGTATGCATTGGCTAATACACTTGTACCACCTCTGAAAAATGCTGTTGGAATTTAAAAAGAAAAATGGCATTTGTAGTGCTGTGTGCTGGAGAAATCAAATCAGTAGAGTAATCATTTAACGACTCAGTATTATGTGAAAGCCAACACACACAAATAGCGAAGAGGGGAAATGTCTCAATGATACACCGAGTACAATATTTGTTCTTACACAACATACAAAAAGATTCATTGTATTTTGAATGCAATACTCAAGAGTGGTTGCCATTAGGAGTTATCATTGGGTCTTCAATCCACCATATTTGATGTACATCGTTGCAGAGTATTTGATACTTCACTACTCAATAGAGTCTACCAACTACAGCGAGCAGGAGAAGACTGGCGAGCGGTGGTAGATGTTGGTCGACGGCTACGGATGCTTGTTGTTAGCACCGAGTCTTCAGTTCATAATAACATTGAAAATTGACTCCTTATCCTTCTTCTTTTTTTTCCCCTCCCCTCCAAGCGAAAATAGAGGTCTATTTACAATCCTTAGAGGAGAGGTATTTTAGTAATTTAGCAAATAACTACTATATCCATTTGATCGAATGACCCATGTTGATTCTCCTTGATCATAGAAGAGTTTTTTAATGACATGACGATCTTGATGATCCCAGAATCAACTTAATGACATGACAAGAAACCTTAGATTCACTGAATTTCTCTTGTCAAGATGTTAGATTTGACTATAAGTATGTCAATTTTGGAGTTCATTCGACCCTCTAAGTAACCACTCAAAACCTCCAAAAGTAGTTCAATGACATGTTCCAGGCCTAATTTGGCTCGAATTGAATCAATTTCATTATCATTGGATTTGTCTCATCGAGCTGGCCAATTTGACTATATGTTTGCTGAAGTTGATGCTCCGGATGATTTTCTCCTTGATCATAGAAGAGTTTTTTAATGACATGACGATCTTGATGATCCCAGAATCAACAAACCTTAGATTCACTGAATTTCTCTTGTCAAGATGTTAGATTTGACTATAAGTATGTCAATTTTGGAGTTCATTCGACCCTCTAAGTAACCACTCAAAACCTCCAAAAGTAGTTCAATGACATGTTCCAGGCCTAATTTGGCTCGAATTGAATCAATTTCAGTATCATTGGATTTGTCTCATCGAGCTGGCCAATTTGACTATATGTTTGCTGAAGTTGATGCTCCGGATGATTTTTGGATTCGAATTGAAATGAATTTGCATACAAAATGCCTTGAAATCCGTACTAAATATCTCCAGATTCATGTCAGATAAATTTCTTGATGACATATTATGTAGCAACCGATTATTTTATAAAATTGTTATACTGAAATTCAAATGTTTGATTGCGTTAAAGCTATATAAAATCATTCGTCAAAGAGATTTCATGCTTTCCAGTCTTGTGATGGTGACTGATTACCCTTTTTTTTTGTCTTAGCATTCCATAAAACATTATTCTATCCACAAATAAAATGAGAGAGACCCTCTTTTTCAATAATTATATGCAGTATAAAGTACCTGATCCACTTGCTATATAAATGAGACTGCACTACTTATGGCTCCCAAATAAGTTTATTGTCCGCGAGTAACTAGTGTTCTCGTGTTCAGTTTATTAATTTGTACTCATGTTTAAATTGTTCATTAAATAAATCGAACACAAATAAATTTTATAATCTCAAATTATAATTGAGCCGTTAGATCATGTCCAACTCGTTTTAGCTCGACATAAGGAAATTATATATATATATATATATATCTAAATTTAAATCATAAGCAACTTTTCCTGGGGACATTTACATACATACCACACAATTTTATATATTTACATATATTACGTCTAACTTTTTTTTATTTATTTACACGCGTAACCCAAATGTTTAATATGAAAAAAGAAAATGGGCATTTTAATGTGTAAAATTTAAATATGAAAATTTAGATATTAGATATGTAAATGCATTACGTGGAATCATGTAAAATTTTCCGGTCTCTATCACGCAATGTTTACATATGATAAATTTAATAATATATATGAAAAATATATTGCAAAACAGTGCCACACGAGCTTGACTTCAACTACAGTGACATGAATTTACAATTTTATAAAAATAAATCAACACATTTCAGATGGAGGCATCAACATATTTAATTTAAGAACAAGTAACATAAAACGATAAAAACACATCATTATCAAATTGAAGCAACACGCTATATATAATATATATATATATATATATATGA